TTTAATTTCTAAACTAATTTTTTATAAATTTCCTTTCGTTGCAAATGTGTAAGTAAAATGAATAGTAAAATACCGCGTAGAGTTATATTTTGGTAAACGTGTACGGACATCGAAAACAGGCCTAAAACGTGAATTAAGCCTTAAGGGGTTAGGGGTACTTAGGGAAAAAATGACAATTTGCAGATTTTTTTTTTATTATTAAATGGCACTGGCGGTCACTAAATTTTTGCAAAAATAAAAGTCCTTCGATCAGGCCCAAGTTTATTATGTATTCTAAAAGCTGTATAAATTTCATTAAACACTACCGAGCGGTTTTAGAGTTACAGTTGTCACCAGTTCAAAAAAACATAGTTTTGAGAAAAACGCGTTTAAAGGTTCACATTGGATTTACGTACAGAAATACAAATTATTGAATTACTTAAACCGAGTCATCTATTTCTGGGCCATATAATAGTTCATCAGTCAATGTGGAAGTTTCCAAAATTTCCATTTGCTGTTGCCTGGCGTCCTGAGTGTTCTCGTTGGCGCGTTGACCTGCCACTATCAAAGGTGCAGCATCCAATTTTTCAGCATGGGAATTATACCCACAATTAAGTCCCAGTGTATCCATAATCAATAATAATGATTATTTATTAGTAGAAATAGTATTCGCTGGTTTTGTGCATATTTTTCACACTAGTTGGTTGAAACTGTCAACTTTTTTCTGATTATGGATTCAATCTTGAACTAGATATCTTGAAAGTAAACTATCATTGCTGAGATCGTCGTAAATCCGTTTAATAGCTTCTAAAACATCAGGAGGTAAGAGAGAAGAATCTTGAGCGCTGGTAAGAGTCCAATAACTCAAAAAGTAATCATCGGATCAACTTGATCAAATTTTCAGAGAATATTTTCAAGATATGTATTACACTTCACGAAAATGCAAAAAAAAAAAAACAAAAATCGATTTTTCAAAAATTTAATTTCAAACCCCTTAATATCAATAGGGGCATTTTACGTGTGTGTTTGAACAATAGTCCTCACATTGTTCGAACCGTCTCTTCTAATTGAAGACATATCATAATAAATGTTAACTTAATTTATTATGCAAATTAAAATAGCACTATTACTTTTTATGTTTTAGATTCAAATATGCTAATTGCCACATATAGATTTTTTCATTCTTTTTACCACACTATTATATGTTATAACACAAATAACGTGTACTTATAAAGGGGCGTCTATTGGCCACGTGATCGGTTTTTTAAGGATTTTTGACCCCCCTCTCCTCCTCGGTGATACGTGGTAATATTCAAAATTACCTCCCTCCCCTACCAAACATCACGTGCATTTTTAGTTACGAGAAAAAATTGTGAAATTTTTTATTTTTCTTGAAAATGATTAGATTTAAAAAAAAAATCCGGTAAAAAATTAATACACGTGATATCTCCCACGTAATACTTTTTCAAACCCGCCCTCCCCCTAAAAACCTCACGTGATTCATGCAATCTGAATTATTATTTAAGGCATTTATTTAGTAAAAGTTTTATTAGTTCTTATAGACTATCTGCTATTTGTAGGTAATCCAACGCTTGTAGTTTTCTAATTGTGATTAAATTTCACAAACTTTAAAGTTTGTATATTTGAACTTCAGTATTAACCTACAATTAACCTACTCAGCCCGCCAGAGGTATTTACACTTCGAAATATATTTATTATCTACATTTTCAAGTGAAAATGAATATCACTGATGCTTGAGGTTGCAGGCAACGCAGAACTTGAACTATGAAACGTGGTTTGCAAGGCCGAGGTATATATATGTACAAAATAGAATAAATTTAATTTATTTATGAACGAAAAAACCAATGTTATATACATATATGATGTATTATTCAATCTCATCATAAAATCATAACCATAAGGGGGCGTCCATTAATCACGTGAGCAAGTTTTTAAGGATTTTTAGACCCCCCCTCCCTCTTGGTGATATTTGGTGATATTCAAAATTACCCCCCCTCCCCCACCAAACATCACGTGTATTTTTAGTTACGTGAAAAAACTGTAAAATTTTTGATTTTTTTTGAAAATGTTTGAACTTTTTTATAAAAAATAGTTTACAAAAATACACGTGATATCTTGCTATACCCCTCCCTCCCCCACGTGATATTTCGTGATTTTTTGACAACCCCCCCCTCCCCCTAAAAACCTCACGTGATTAATGGACGCCCCCTAACATCATGTTTACAATTTATTTTAAGCGGGTTGTCGCGGTTCAGTGAAATAATTTTTGGCCATGCGACCATAGGGTTTTGGGTTCAATACTTACTTCAGCCTGATATCAAGCTGTTCTGATATACGTTTTCACTTCAAAGTATAATCTAAATATGTTTCCAAGTGAAAATAGTAGACATTGCTACAAAAAAATAAAATCATATCATAAGTATTAAATAAATTCTAATGAGCAAAATGATCAACCATTGGGTTGTATTCTAAAAAGCGACGATGTTAACAAGTATATTTATCATAGCAGCTCATAAACGTGTTAAGTTTTGCAGCTAAAAAAATAAGAGAGAAAGGAAATCTTTAAAGTTATAATCGAATAACTCTTCTCGTGTATAATAGCAATTAAATATAACGGTGGCTTATCGATGGAATTATAGAAATTGAAAAAAAATATGGATCAAGCATGCGTGAATTGTTTGTTTGTTTGAAACGATTTATTTATTCAACAATGTGATACATAAGAGTGAGTGAGGAAAAGCTTTGTTTAAGAATAAGATAAGCCAAATGGATTCAGTAATTGATATGTATTTTATCTTTCAACACGAAGCATCCAATACAATCACAAGATGTATAAATTCAAACGACAGTATTATTTGACTGAATATTTCATTATCATTGACTTTCTTTTGAATATTTTACTTAATTTGCGAATCTAAACCAGTTATTGTTTGCACGACAATTAATGCCATAATTTAATTATAATACTTTTAATACATCTATGCCATCAGCTCATATATATTTGTCGTGGCAACTTGACTTCCACTGAATGTATCAGCATCAGAAATTAAGCTGCTTATAATAATACACTCAAAGCCTTAAAAATGCTGAACGCCGCCTATTGCAGTACTCTCTAATTGCATTAATTAGTATTAATGTGATTAAATTAGTGAATTTTTCTTAACCAAGAGTTCAAAAGTTGAAAAACGTTTGACGTCCCACTTTCTTGAAAGTGTTAAGTGGGTTATGACGCATCAATAACATTCTTGTTCTAATGATTGTCAGGAGTTGATTACATAGAACCGGACGTTTACAGATATTATACAAAACAAACTTATACGAATATTTATAAAGAAATAAAATTAAAGACATTTTTAAAATATGTTTGAATGACAAAAAGATGTAGGGGAGACTGGGTACGGTTGTGCCTATACTGGTTTGGAGATAGGGTTCGAAGGGAGAAATATGAAGTATGTTTGTTTGAACAAGTTTCCATTATTGCATTGAGTCAGCGCCCTACATTAACATGATCTGTAGACCGAATTGCTTTTAAAGAGTGAGTTTTTCCGTTAAAATTATTTAAATAATAACTGTAAATTTTGTTTATAGATAGATTACTCTGTTATTTTGCTATAACTTGAACATTAATATAGTAAATTACCAGCAATTAGTTTTTGTTTTATGTGACATGTATATATTGTGGTCCTTTTTGGGTCAAATAATAAATTAATAATAAGTTAATATTTATTAACTAATAAATAGGGCTTGCCCGTAGGTAAGCGGTTAAGAGCGACGGGACTTGTTTTCAGAGGTCCCGGGTTCGATACCCACTTCGAGCAGCCTGTTGTCAGGCAGCAGGGACAACGATTTTCACTTGGAAATATAGATAGCAATATGTTTCCAAGTAAAAATAGCCCTTGCCCGGCATTGCTGCACCAATAAAAAAGTCAGCCCTATTAGATTAATTCTAATAACAAAATCATCAAATATGGATAGATCAGCCAATGGGTTACCATCTAATAAACTAATAAATAAAATACGGAAGAGTAAAAAAAAGAAAATTCAATACAAGAAAACAGGAGATTTCTTGTTTACAAATTATGTTTTGTTATATATCATTATATTATATTTCTAAGCTTTGTTTAAATAATTACATTGTGTTGTATTGCATATTTCTGACAATAAAAGACGTTGTAAAGCATTTTGACGCTCATATCTATTTTTTTATGCCTGTCACAACCGTCCTGGGGGTGTCTTTTGTCTTGTTTGATTTTATGACTAATTCATCGTATTTAAGGACTGAATTCCAGTATTTCCTCGTAGACAAATGTTCAAGTTACCATTTAATTGACTTTTTACTGCGTTATTTCTATTTTAAAGTCTATTTTAAAATTCGATGCATGTTTCAATTCAAAGTTTGGATGTAAACAATTTGTAAATTGTAACAAATTATTTGAACAGTTTAAACAGCATCTGTTTTGAAGCTAACAAACGTAAACAAATCGAAAGAAATAATATAAACAAATTATAATATCAAACCAAAATAAATAAAAAATGTTCACCTAAAACTGATAATATATTTGTTTTATTACTATTAAAGAACATTACTAGAAAAGGATAGTGAATGTGACGTGAAAATTTATTTAAGAGCGAGATAAAAACTATATTAAAAACATTTCATCAATTATTTTCGTTTGTATGTAATAAAATACAAAATATACAATAAATTAATAAACAATTAATTTAGGTATTAAGCGTGTAAACATTCATTAAACGATTATGTAAACAAAAATAAGAAACAAATAGCTGTCATTCGTAAACGTCAAATTATATTTTTAATTTAGAAATTTTGCCATAATATTGTTATTATAATTATAACGATGAGATTTAATTTGGTTTTACACAATTGAATATATTGAAGAATAATAAATCGTTTATAGGTAGAAAATAAATCGTTTATAGGTAGAAAATTATAACAAAAAAATACGAATATGTGTAGTCAAATAAAATCTATTACTTACAATCTGCTCTCTGACATTGTTGTGAAAAATTTGTTCTCTTATATCGGCATCATCTTCCATTTTTGTGTATTCCCCAAATTACTTCTCTTCTGTATGCATATAACATGAACACCAGGGCCAGTTTTAAAATAAAAATGCATTTTTAGTTTCTTCAATAAAACATTTTAACACACACACAATATAAATCTCACTTATTCATATCACAGACATTAATTTTCATTTTGTTTGTACAATTGGCAATAGACATAACTCCATGACGGAGCACAAGCGACTGATTAAATTGATCTGTTTTGCACAAGCAGCATGGGGAAGACGTAAATTATACTTGTATTGTGTACGTTCTATGCATCGATTGCGGTTAGTGTTGGTTTGTGTCTACACAAGCCAAGCGAACGCAACGAACGTCAGATGCTACCACATAGTAGTTGTATATTCGCAAGACCGGGATGAGAGACTCATCAATACGCATTGCCAACATAACATTAATATGGTAACTGGCCATAGAGAGCTTTACAAAGATGGAAGAACAAACGGAAGCAGTTTTGGAAAATTTATACTGTGTAAAGTTCATATTGTTTATATAATTGTATTGAAACCAAGACAATATAAAAATATAATTTATTCATAAATAATAATAATAACAATTATCTCATAAAAAAGCTTTACAACTTTAATTTTCATGACGGGCAAGCTCTCCTCTAGCGGATTTTAAGTGAAACTTGACGACCAACAAATATGGCGGATGACACATTTATGAGTTGAATTTGCTGTCAACCATGGCCGGTAATCTCCGAACAAATGAAGATTACCGTGTTTTGAAATGGATTGGTATTTGAATAGTTCGAAGGATGGCGCTACGATTTCCAATTTCATTGATTCAACAAGCAGCTGGCTTGTTGATCTACATTGATTTGATCGGCCATCTTCTATAAGTTGTCAAGTTGTCATCGCGTATTGTAGTTGAGATTTTCCGTGATTGTTTATATATAATTATGTTTTGACTACTTATTGGGTGCATTCGACTTGGACGCTTACGCGCTGTGAGCGCGCTTTCATCGTTCGACTTGGCGCTGTAAGTGTCACATAAGTACGCTCGTAGCACCATCGTAGGATGCTCGTAGCACATATTTTGCGCTCACATACGCTCACGCCACAGAGGTAGGGCAGCGTGAGCGTGAGCGTCAGTTGTTTTTACTATCTGTCATTTCATTTGTTTATTAATTGTCAAATTCTTTATAATTCCGCAAAAATGGCAAGCTGTAGATCACAATTATTTTTTAATATTAATATTGATATTAATTAATTTTAAATTTAATTAATTTTAAATAATTTTAAATTTCAATTTTAATATTACTATTAATTAAGCATAAGCTGATCAAATTTCATTTATTTATTAATTGTTAAATTCTATATAATCCCGCAAAAATGCCAAGTTGTATATCACATTTATTTTTTAATATTAATATTAATATTAAATAATTTTAAATTTTAATTTTAATATTACTATTAATTAAGCATAAGCTAACCAAATTTCATTTATTCATTAATTGTTACATTTTTTATAATCCCGCAAAAATGCCAAGTTGTATATCATATTTATTTTTTAATATTAATATTAATATTAATATTAATTAATTTTAAATTTAATTAATTTTAAATAATTTAAAATTTCAATTTTAATATTAATATGAATTAAGCATAAGCAAACCAAATTTCATTTATTAATTGTTAATTGTTAAATTGTTTATAATCCCGCTGAATGATCCAGAAAGTAATAAAATTTACACAATTACCGTTACCGCCAGTTGCCGCCATTTTGATGCTTATTGACGCTCACAGTTTCCAAAACGAACGGAATTTAGTTATCGATTCTGAGCGCTTATCGGCCAAGTCGAACGCTAAAAATTCGTGCTTATAAGCGTGAGCGCTCACAGCGCGTAAGCGTCCAAGTCGAACGCACCCATTGGGTGAATATGAATACTTTTTTCATTTATTATTAAGTTAAAATGATAAAGTGTTGTGTGCCAAATTGTTATAACCCCAAATATAATAAAAAAAATGCATGTCTTTCCGGCATCTAATTATCAGGTATGTATATAATGATGTATTATGCATATAATGAATATGTATCATCACAATACTATTAAAATGTTATATATATATATATATATATATATATTTGTGTGTAAAAATTTGTGTGTAAAAAGATGCTTTCAATTTGGATGCAGAGGGCGAATAATCTTTTAATGGATGACCTAACTCTTCGGTTTGTGGCACAAATCAACGATAATTTGAAATCGAAACCAAATAGAAGTGTCTCCTTTACGGCAATAACAAAATAGTTTTCAAGTCACTGGAGAATGCTCTGATACAGAACCAGAAGAACAATCTGCAACTCTAAGGACAAGGACAAGTAATTATAACTCTAAATACTTCAATAACATTTGCAAAAAAATATTAATAAATGAATCTTATGTTCTTAGGAGATGGAAGCCTAAACACCTTGAAAAAGATTTTTGCAGCACCTCTAAGATTGTGAAGTGCAGGTTAAAAGTCACCAATTCTGACACCAGTTTTCCGAAAAGGTATTTTTTCATACTAATTGCAGCAAAAATATTTAATATGATAATTACAATATCTTCAATTGATATGATACAACAATATATTCAATAGAAGTCCTTGATGGTAGCTGCAAATTGCCGCAGAATGCAATGATAAGGCGTAGGAGTGCCTTAACACCCAGAAGATGTATGATACATCAAATTTTGTTTCGGGATTAAAATGCAATGCAATAATTTAAAGGATAAATTCCAACAGAGTATACAATGTTCTGAGAAGTTTTCAAATATTCCGGAAACTTAAAATGTAAGGGCAAGAATTTTGATAATGTCTCAATTAAGAGAGCATACTCAAAGACCAGACAGTTTATAAAGCGCAAGGGTTTAGTTATAGTTTTAACTAAACCTCCTTGCAATAAAAACTGGATTAAAACGATAGATAGATTTGAGCTACAATTGGTATAAATTAATAGTAGTTCAGGGTTTTGGTTACTTACGTTTAAAAAAACCCTTATACAGAAACTATTCAATGATTTCGTCAAATATAACTTTATTAATGATTGATTAGATAGCAAAATAACTATTAAATGGAGAGATAACAAACAAGAATGTCTCGTAAATAAATTTTAATCCTAGGAATTTAGTTTTATCTCAATTTGGATATCAATATATATATATTTTGTTTTTAGGATTATTTTGTTTGGAAAGTATTCATTCTTTTTTAAGAATGTGCTGTTCTTTTTATCCTTTTAAATTATTGCATTACTTGTCATTCTTCTAAATTTGTCATTCCATCATCAATACTCCTGTGCTTTTTACTTCTTAGTTTTTAAGTTTTTAATATATTATTATTAGTCATTAAGTAATTAATATGAATAAGTTATTTCTAGAATATTAATAGAATAAGTACTTTAAAAATATGTCTGTAATATACTTTAATTAATAGTAGTCAGTTATTTCTGTTTAGTTTATAATTCTTCAAAAATATGTCTGTGATATATTTGAAAATATATTTTGTATTTCGTATGTTTTGTTCTTATTTCAAATAATAATTTTTTTCAGATTTTTGGGCTGTATTGATTTTATGTACAAATGTAGAAGATGTGTAGAAGTAATACCAGGGGTTAATTTACATACTGTATGTACATGTGCTGCCATGTAGTGATCTATTCGTAAATTAAAATGAGTGTAACGTCAAATGGCCCGAGATAGCGATCTATTTATGCTTATTTATCTATGGATGACACATTTATAAGTTGAATTTGCTTTCAACTAATATTTTTTTGATGCAAAACGTGCATTTTTAGGTTAGACATTTGCTGTAATTCATATTTCCCATATTTCTTACATATTCTCATCATTCATCTTTTATGATTTTAAGGCAGTGTGTATCGTGTGTATAGTCTTTGGATATGTGATATGAATATAAACGATAAAATGCAAAGTATATAAGTATATATATATTTCAAATCTACATTTTTTTATATAAAAATTTATCTATTACATATCTAAAGACTTTGTTTTTTTTACAGTTCAATCACATATCCAAAGACTATACACATTTTCTTCTACCGTATATATTCAAATAGGTAAATTTCACAATTTGAATTTCTATTTGAATTTCGCGCTTTAAATTGAACAAGTGGCACATGTTGCTAACTTTAATTGCTTCGATTGTCAAAGAATTTTTCGTGAATTAACATGTCCTCGCGTTAATTAAGACTTTTCAATTAAATCTTTGATTAGTTTTAATTAATTTATGCATCAAAACGTGTAATTAATTTAGTAGATCAATTTGATATAATAAATTTATCGTGAAACGTTAATTAAAAGGCAAAAAATGGGTATGTTTGGAAGTGCCTAGATGTATCTTGAATAGTTGATAAGTATCTCTTTCAGGGTCTCCATTTTAAATCAGTTTTATAATTAAACAATGTATTTACAGTGCCAATGTATCCTTTAATTATATACTTGAGTAGTACTTTGTATAGTATACTACCTTGAATAGTTTGATAAGTATCTCTTTCAGGATCTCCATTTTGAATCAATTTTATAATTAAACAATGTATTTACAGTGCCAATGTATCCTTTAATTATATACATGCAATTATCAATAGTATAATTTATATATGTGCTTTTGTAGGTTACATTTGAGTACTTCCAACACATATCTGTTATTATCGAATTCTAAATTCACGAAAGTCTCTAATATAAGTCGTGTGTCGTGTATTGTGTAAAGACTTTACTCGGACAATTGCAACAGGTCAAATATACTTATAAAAGAGTAAAGTAATGTAGTGTTCTAAAGTAGTGATTTTGTGTCGACTACTTGAGATGCTCCAGAGGTGGTTTGAGTAATGACTTATTGTTTTGGGAGCTGCTGCAGAGGATATCTAACAATGTAAGTGTAAAGCATGTTTTATACATAGAGAGTCAAAGAATATTTTTCTGGATTTATATACAGATATTTATCGTACTATATCTGTTGCACCTATAGTGTTTTAAAAATTCAATATTTAACTTATATATGTATATTGATTGTTTCTTTTCCGAACAGTAACACTAATAATAAAAAACAATTTGTTTTTTGAAGATGTTTAATAACAACGTTTCGGAACTAGATACGTTCCATCATCAGATTTATTCTGTCAAAGACTATGTTTTTTTAACTATTAAACATTAATTAATGTTAATTTAACTATTAATTAATTAATGTTAATTTAACTTCTAACATTAATTAATGATGGTTATTACATATTATTCAGAAAAATTATGAAGAAATGGATTATGTACTAGTCTGAAGAGTAAAGAAAAGTATCTAA